CTCAAATCCCCCAGCAATGCAGCAAAATCCCCATCTGACAGCCTCTAGGCCCTGATCAATGCCCGATTCAATAGAGTCTATTTGCGACAAAATTCCAATACAGCAGAGGGATTTGAGTAGTTCCTGGAGTTCATAATGCAACCTGAACTATAGCAAAATGGAGTGAGGACATAACTCCTCCTGCATAGAAATAGGGCTGCTGAAAAAAACAACAATCAGTTATCGGTGTACATAGCTCACCACCCTATCCCACAGGGCCCAGTGGAGCCCTCACCCATAGGAGGTGCTCCATGAATATTTGTGACATCAGGAGCAAGGAGAGGTTCAATTACTTTTGCAAGACGGTCCCCTGAAGGATGGGTGCCCAGCCTGGCCACCTTACACTAAAGATTTACCTATGATCTATGTAAAACTGACCAACAATCAAGTCAACTTCCCCAGGTTTATTCTTCCAAAGCCAGACAAGTTAGCAGTCCTGCCAGAAGGGTTTACATGCAGCCTCATTTCATTCAACCAATAGGACCTGTTACTAGGTGGGGAAGAGTAAAACTGACTGATGCCAAGTGTTGGGGTTACTGAGCTGAAAAACAAGTCTCTTTATCAAGAAGCTCCCAAGCTAGTGGGGAGGATGATCCTGGAAACAAATAGTTTTAGTAATTTGATAATGAATAGCTCACCATTAGTTGAGCAGACCTTATGCTCAGTGACCTGTCCAATAAACCCCACAAGGGGAGGACTCTACCTGTTTTACCAATGGGGGAACAAAAGTTAGTAAGCAGAGGGGCAGGACTGGAACTCAAGCATTGACTATAGCACCTACACTCCCTGCCTCTGCACCGAGGTCCCCTTGTCATGGCCCAGAGCTGTCAGGGGAGGCCCTCAGAAGTGCCATGGATGCTACATCTTCAAGTATTGGGAAGCACTGCTGGTCCAAGGGGAGAAGCAGATGGCCTCATGACTTGGTGGCTGTCGGCAGTCTGGTAGACTAGACACTCCAGTACAGGACACTTGCCAGGAGGTAGTAGAGACGGAACAGTAGAAGATGCAGGCAGGGCCAGACTATGGGGACTTGGTGTGTTGGGGAGTCCGGACACCTGGATACCATGGAGAGCCATGAGCCTTTGGATCTGTTTGGACACGAGACTTGCTCATAGGAATGTTCATATAAGGAACAGGCAGGCCCACAGCACACAAACTACAAAGCTGAAGACTGAGGTGGAGCCATCAGGAAGCCATGTGATCAGGCAGAGCAGGAAGGCCTGAATTGGGCAAGGAGCTCCTTGGTCGACTCTATCCAGCTGGGTGCAGCTCTCATGGAGCCCCCTGACTGGGCCCAGCCCCGGATGACTGGCCAGGCTGACTCCTCTTCAGGTCTCTCAGGACCCTCATGGCTCACAGGGCAGCACCGACCAGCACGGCCAGTGACCACAGATTCGGTCTCCAGGACTTCATTTCCCCATCTGTAAAACTAGTGGATTTAACTAGATTGTAATTTGGTTATCTTCCTGTTCTGACATTCTAGGAATTCTTTTTTATGTTAGAGTCTCATGGTCTCAGGCACATGAGACCCTCAGAAATGTCACAGACACATGTGGACATTGTCCAAAGATGTCAATTTATTCTTCTTTGGTATTTGTGGGCAGTAATCTTACATAAATTGAAACAATCTCTACAGAGGTCAATTTGGCACTGTGGTTAATTTTGTGTATTAGCTTGGTTGGCTCACTGTGTCTAGGTACTTGGTTAGATATTATTCTGGATGTTTCTGTGAAAGTGTCTTTTGGATAAGACTAACATTTAAATTGGTGGACTTTTAAATCCAAATAAAGCAGATTTCCCTCCATAGTGTGGGTGGGCATCATCCAATCAGTTGAAGGTCTTCAGAGAACAAAGACTGACTACTCTGCCTCCTGCGGCAAGAAGGAATTCTTCCAGCAGACTGCCTGCCTTTGGAGTCAATCTACAACTCTTCCTTGGGCCTCCAGCTTGCTGGCCCACCCTGCAGATTTTGGACTTACCACGCCTCCCTCCACAATCATGTGAGCCAAACATTTACAGTAAATCAACCTCCCTCTGTACAGTTATGACCCATCCATATATCAGAACATGCTGCAAGCACAGAAGGGGATGTGACTCCATGTACTGATATGGAGATCTCCAAGATATATTAAGAACACTATATATAATGTATAATCACAAAAAAAGAGAGCAGAAAGTAAAATTTCTATTGCTTATATGTAGGGGAAAGATTGTCTGGAAGGATGCCTAAGAAACTAACAGCAGGGGAACTGAGTACATGGGAGACGGGTAGAGGGACCTTTTTGCTTTATTCCTTTTCATACTATGACAAATGCAGTCTTTGACCTAGCCATTCCACATCCATATATTTACCTTATAAATATATTTCCATGCATGCAAAATGACATACATATAAGACTATTCAGTTGCAACATTGTTTACAAGAAAAAAAATGGGAACATACTGAACAACCATCAGGAGGTCAAATAAATCATCCATTTGAAGAAACATGGTACAGTTGTCACAAAGAATGTGGCTGTTTTCTCTGGTCTGATGTGGAACAATGTCTAAGCTAAATAGAAAAAAAGTAAGGTTCAGGATACTGTGGGTACAGTAAGTAACATTTATGCGGGAAGAGAAGTCTAATTCTATGCCTATATGTTTGCAAGTGCAAGAAATATCTCCAAAAGAATACAGAATAAATTAATTAGTGGTTACTGGTGGGGAAGGGAATTAGGTAACTTGGGAATGGGGGTGAGAATATATTTACACTCTATCTTTTGAATCATGGGCATGTAATATCTACTCAACAATTTTAAATATTTATGAGGAGGGGGAGGTAGGAGAAGAAGTCAGGCGCTAGGTTGGGGGCTAAAGTCATCTGAACATAAAGCATCCATATGCTACACTTTTCATGATGTTTTTAACCTGAGATTCCCTTGAACTGCTCTTACAAATTCCAGCTTTGGACCAAAACCAAGAGGATGATTTCTGAAGATCAGAGCCCTAGCTCTCTGCAAGGCAGATGGTACTTTAACCCATGCACAGAGACAAATGGATTCAGACCTTTTCTTCAGAACCTTTTTTATTTATCATCTGACCAACAGAGGAGGTCAGCCTGAATCAAAACAAATCAAAATAGCCACCAAAGGCCCTCCTCATTACAAGACTACAAGGCAGAACTAGAGATGAGGATAGAGGTTGGCTTTGGTTCTTTTCAGAACAGGCCAAAAATGTATTTATACACAGATGGCCCCCTTAAAAACTGAACTGCAGTGTACCACCACAAACGTACTGTAGAAACATCACTAGGGGCTCCCACGTGTGTCACTCATAGGGGCCACCTCTTCTTCAGCCATAAGTAAGACCTTGCTGTTTGCCGGGGAGAGTCATCAGTGTGCATCTTGAGTGATGGCACATTTACTCTGGAACTTTGGTAGTGAGGTGACTCACCTATTTCCTCCCCAAAATCTGTGATGAAATAGCCTGAGTATCTAAAAAGTGTCCTCGGAGATAGGTGGTGGAGGTTCCCTTAACAAAGTTTACAGAGGAATTGTGTAAGGCTCTTTAGTGCTTAATCCTATTGTTTTCCAGAAACCTTTGCACCTGGGCTCCCAAGGAGCAAGCAGGACCCAGTCAGCACCCCAGAGGCTGTGAGTGAGGTGCCTCTCAGCACAGTCCCTCATGGAAGAGAAGGGGGTAAGAAAGAGGGAGGGTGAGGTGGAGATGCAGGGGGACAGAAATCAGCTGAAACACTCCATGCTGGTTCTGACTCGCTCCATCTCATGCAGGAAGCTGTAGAACTGAGGCAAGGTTAATTCTGGGGAGAGAAAATTTAGCTTCAGGTAAATGTTTCCAACTCCACAGAATCATCCAAGAAAATTAATTTCCAACCAAGAGATTTTTCTTTTTCTTTTTTGGCTTAGTACATCCAAGCAGGTCTTGATGGGTAATCAATCATAATAAAGAACTGAGAGCCTTGAACATAGAAAGGTTCTCAGCTCTGTAAGAAAGTGGGGGGTTTAAAAATGGCATTAACTTCACAGCACAAAGAGATGACAGGGCATCATTCAGGATATTCAACGGGACTTCTACACCAGGAGCTTCTTGTTCATCAATCTTCGTCATTCCTTTTACCTCGCTTTCCCTTTTTCAAAAAGGCTCTTCAAACGTGGGGTCTCCAACCTGCTGATGGCTTATTACTTATGAGAGGAAAGGCACTGGAATGGTCATTCTACACCTCGGTATGACAAATCATAATGATTTGTGTGAGCTTCATGAGCCCACTGAGAGAACACGGAAAAAAATGAAAAGGCTCAAATAGGAATTCAGACTCACCTATATACAAATTTTCAGTTTCATTTCCTTTCTTAACCACCAACTTTAACTAATTAAAAAAAAAAAGAAATTTAAAAAATTTACATTAAAACAATGACAACTGGGCAAAGAAATTTTTGAAGCCCTTTCACTTAAACATCAAAGCATCCAGCTTCTTACTTGAGGATTATACAGGAGCTATCTGCATCATCCACCAAAACTTCTAACAGTTCAGATGATTACAGGAACAATCAAACTTTTAAGACTAGTACCAGGATCCTACCAATCTGACAGTAGGCACTCAATTAAAACAATGACAACTGGGCAAAGAAATTTTTGAAGCCCTTTCACTTAAACATCAAAGCATCCAGCTTCTTACTTGAGGATTATACAGGAGCTATCTGCATCATCCACCAAAACTTCTAACAGTTCAGATGATTACAGGAACAATCAAACTTTTAAGACTAGTACCAGGATCCTACCAATCTGACAGTAGGCACTCACTCTGGTGGCCACATCTTTGACTGACCACATTGTTCTAAGATAAAAAGGCACATCAGTGGAACATCTATTTAACTGCACATTTAAAGAAAACCAGTGTAGATTTCATAATTTTTAACCAAGTCAAAGCTATACCCATTTTCAAGGATTAGGAGAAGACTTACTTGTAAAAAAATACTTCCCACTTTCTCCAGTTCACTGCTCCCAGATGTCACTATGGCACAAAAGAGAAAAACAGTAAGCGATGGGTTGAGGACCTACTCTGAAGACACCAATCCTTGCAAGTTGTCGCAGAAGCCATGTGGGGGCGAGTATGAGGACAGCAAAATATGCTCTTAGGGAAGTCAACTTATCGGGACGCATGGACAGAAACAGCTGCTGAATGTGGACAGCAGTACAGAGAAGCAGCGACTCGCCCCAACGGTCTTTGAGGACTGAGGCCATGTCTTCCCCTCAAAGCTTTCTGCAAGCTTCTGCAACCCAACCCTACCTTGCCCAAATTACCCAGGACTGGCTCTAACTACTTACCTCCGAATTTCCACTCCATATCTATAAGCTGGTTAATCATCAGGGTCTGGCCTATGGCCCATCGAGCAAGGGTGAAGGCATTCTGCTTCCACTGGAACAAAAGCAAAAAGCCAAAGTCATAACAATGGGAAAAATCCCCCCTCTTCATTCTGCCTCCAGCATAGCAATGTTTAGTATCTATACAGACATGGGGAAGAATGCAGAGTCAAGGGCTCAGCCTATATGCACAGATCTGGGGGATGAGGAAGTAGAGAGGGGCAGAGACAATATAATTTTTTTCATACCAAGATTTAATTCAGGGTGGAACAAAAACCTAATGACATTTACATTCAGTCAGAGAAAAAAATTAGAGATGCATGAAACAGTGCTGTTTACAAGCTGTATTTATGTCATTGTATGAAACCAAACAAAAAACATTAAGCTGGGAAAGTGACATATAATGATTGATGGTTTTTCTTTAGTTGGCACTTTCCATTTGTTTCTTTTCATGAAATAAAAGCAAGCTATCATAATTAACCTTGATTAAGAGGAATTACGATACCTTTTCAGCAAAGTAAGTGGCTTTGTCTTCACCAAGACCTGTATGTAAGAGAACAGAAGCACATATTAACATGATAAAGAGCCAGAAGGCCTGTCATCCTGAGCAACCTTGGTGATGACCTACCCAGAGTCATGAAATCGGCCCGGACCTGCTCAGCTGTGAGACTCTTCTTCAAGGCACCTGGGAAACAGGGGAGAAATCAGTTTAAAAGGACACATCGATTAATCAATCAGCAGTTAAGTATTTAATGAGCACAACCCATGTGACACAGAGGACCAAAGGAATGTGCAAAGATTCAGCTGCAGCTCTGTGAGGATCTCGATCCTAGGGTGAAGAGGAGCATCTGAAACAACTGGAGAACAAGACAGCATATTTTGTTTATTGCACAACACAAATGTTTGCCCCTCCAGAAAGTACGGAAGAAGTCAAAGACAACAGAAAAGACTGGGGACTTGGGGAAGTGAGCACCTGATTTGATAAAAGAATTAAGGCCACAGATTCCTAGAGCAAAGTAGGGGAGTTCAAGGTCAGGTTGGGCATAGGGGCAAGAGCCTAGAACTGCACTGTGCAATCCATAACCACTAAACACGTGTGGTTATTTAAATTTTAATTAAAATAAAATGAAATTTAAAGTTCTGTTCCTCATTTGCACTAGCTGCTTCAAGTGGGTCCAGTGTCTATAGTTCTGGACAGTGCTGATTACACACCATTTCTACCTTACAGAGTTCCATGGGACAATGCTGCCATAGAAAATCAGCTCTCAGGAGGTAAACCAAGGAGTAAACAGTTTGGCCTCTACAATTCACAAGTTACTTCCAGAGCAGGCTGTCAAACCTTCCCCCCTCAGAAGCCTTGGAAACACTCCCCTGTGGGGGCCGCTTTGTTCTACTTGCAAGCTCCAATTCCTGAAAACAAAGTGTTGCCAGCAATCTGAGCTTTTCAATGTTTAACCTGCAGGCTACAGCCTAGAGTCATAATTTGGCAACGACTTCAAAATGTTCTACTTCTGAGCCTTGCAGAAGATGACTAATTAAAGAAAAAGAAGACATCCACTATCCCCCCCCAGGAAGGCCCTGAAGTAATACCTTCAATCCAAGTCCCTACCCTCACCTCACTCCAGAAAAACAATCTTAAAGGCTGTTGCCCCCTGCAAAATAAACCATGTAAACAAAGGGAGGAAATCTTTTATCTCCAAAATCAGGCTGAGCAAGGAAGCCACAGGGAAATAAAAGAGGCAAGACCCCAGGAAACCTTGGCCATAAAGGCCCTCCGAGAAGGGGACTACTTCCTAGCCAATCCAGTTAACTCATAACCACCAAGTATACAGCTCCTTAGTGTATATCCAATTCAATTCCAATATTTTGCTTGATAACCCAAAGTACTCTGAAATGTAGATTATTACTGAAACCCTTCATTTACCAGAGAACTAAAAATCAGAAAGATTAAGCTTTTAGGGAAGAAAATTTGGTAAATGCACACAGTCAGCAATTTCACTGCCAAGAATTCGCCCAGCAGATATGCCCCACAAAGGACTCTGAGATACATGTGGAAAGCTTTTTAGCAATTTTGGTGATAGAAAAAGTCAGAACAGTGGGCTGATTTTGGTGCATCTACACAGCCTGGGAGCCACAGTGGTTTTGTTAAAAACTTAAGTCAGACCATGTCTCTCCTCTGCTCAAAAGTCTCTTAAAAGCTCCAGTTTCACACATAGTTAATACCCAAAGCTCTCAGAATGCCCAGCAGGATCTGGCCTCTTCTAGAACTCCTAAGCTCTCACCCTTGTTACACAGCTTTTCCTGTAATATGCCAGACAGGTTCCTACCCCAGGCCTTTGCCCCTGCAGTTCCCTCCGCTGCAAACACTCCTCAAATCCTCATAGGGCTCATTCCCTCCCTCCGTGAGGTCTCTGCTTGAATTCCACCTCTGTAAAGATCTCTGACCAGTCTACTTCAAGTGGCGCTGCTCTTCACTTATACCCTTATACAACTGCTGTACTTTCCTGCACTGCATTTATAACTACCCAGCTTTATGTCATATATTATTGCTAATTTTTCCACTAGAATGTCAGTTCAATGAGAACAAGGACTTAACCTGTTTGCCCACTGCTGTGTCCCAAGCTCCTAGAAAAGTACCTGGCACTGGTTTTATTGGTTGACACTCAATACTAACATGCTGAATGAAAGAATCCATACAATGAAATATTATGCAGCTTTTAAAAAGAAGAAGGTAGCGCTGGATGTATCAATTTTCAAAATATAATGAAAATTAGGAAAGGAAAGAAGAGTCTGCACAGTGTGGTCCCTTTTGTGTAAATAAAGAAGGGTATGTTATAGGTCCTTATTTATTTAGCTTGAATGATATCTTTATCCAAACTAAGTAGGCAGGTGTAAGGCACATTTTTTCTGGACATATCCACAAAAAACTTAAGAGTAGACATCTTTGAGGAAAGGGACTGGGTGGGATTTTTCTTCCTTTCTGTCATTTTAAAACTCTCTAGGTACAAGTAGACTTTTTTTTTTAATGTTAAGGTGGTAGAATTGTGAGCCATTTTTGTTTATTTCTTGTACTTCCCTATAATTAAGAAACATCCCAGGCCATTTTGAGACACTGTCCTTTCTGTCATTTTAAAACTCTCTAGGTACAAGTAGACTTTTTTTTTTAATGTTAAGGTGGTAGAATTGTGAGCCATTTTTGTTTATTTCTTGTACTTCCCTATAATTAAGAAACATCCCAGGCCATTTTGAGACACTGTCCTTTCTGTCATTTTAAAACTCTCTAGGTACAAGTAGACTTTTTTTTTTAATGTTAAGGTGGTAGAATTGTGAGCCATTTTTGTTTATTTCTTGTACTTCCCTATAATTAAGAAACATCCCAGGCCATTTTGAGACACTGTCCTTTCTGTCATTTTAAAACTCTCTAGGTACAAGTAGACTTTTTTTTTTAATGTTAAGGTGGTAGAATTGTGAGCCATTTTTGTTTATTTCTTGTACTTCCCTATAATTAAGAAACATCCCAGGCCATTTTGAGACACTGTCCTTTCTGTCATTTTAAAACTCTCTAGGTACAAGTAGACTTTTTTTTTTAATGTTAAGGTGGTAGAATTGTGAGCCATTTTTGTTTATTTCTTGTACTTCCCTATAATTAAGAAACATCCCAGGCCATTTTGAGACACTGACCAGGCAGGGCCCTGACAGTGACTGACAATGGAGGCTGCCAAGCTGCAGGGACCAAGCAGCAATTTGGTCCTCTGTCTTGCCATTTCCTCGGCCAGGCAGGAGCTATACTTAGAAACTTTGAAGTATACTACATTGCATCATGCTAGCCCCCAAGCCCTTAACTTTTCTTTCTTTTCTTTTCATTGAGATATAATTGACATATGACACTGTACGTTTAAGATGTACAACTTGTTGATTTGATACACTGATACACTGTGATATAATTATCATTAGCTAATGCCTCTGCAATGTCACATAATTATCATTTCCTTTTTGTGGTGAGAACATTTAAGATCTGGTCTCTTAGCAATTTTGAAGTTTATAATATAATATTGTTGACTAGAGCTTTTGACTTCTTTTTCAGCATTCTCCTTCAGTGATTCTTTTGTCCTAAGCACAAGACAGGCCTGCAGCCTTGACCCTATGTCAGATGGAAAGAAAACTATATGAACTTCAGGCTACAGCCGCCAGAACAAGTCACTTGGGCAAACTTGACACTGTCCTTCTTTAAGCACAGATAACTATCAGGGTTGGTTTATAAAGTCCTTGAGTACCAATTTTTACTGCAACAGTTGCCTTAGGCAAACCCTCATTGCCATCAAACAGTGTGGGGTCAAGATGGATACACGTGAGGGTGAGACTTCAGTTTTGCCAGAACACAGTTGAAAAATCAGCAAACATTGTTCTTCTAGCCAAAAATCTACATAAGCTTATTCAGTGAAATTAGGGAAGCCCTAGAACAGAACTGGTGAGAAGGCTTAGGAAGCTCCTGGAGGAAAAGATGGGAGAGGATGGAGAGCCACATTCAATTGATTACTGACCCTGAAGTGCTGACCGGCTGAATCTACTCCTTCGAGGCTCGTGAGGTTACAGAGGCCACGGTCACTGTACACCCATTTACTGAGCGCCTGCTATGCGCCAGCACTCGGCTAGGTGCTGGGAAATAACAATGAACCAAAAGGCCGCAATCTCTGCCCTCATGAGGCTTATATTCTATTGGGAAGAGAAAGACTATAACAATAATGTAACAAATAAGTAAGCCACACAGAGTATCACTGGCAAGTATCACAGAGAAAAGTTACAGCGGGTTGAGGAGGCTGCAGTCCTGGGAATTTGGTTCAAAACTTGATTAAATACCACTGGTGATATTATTCAATGTGAATTAATCTTTTTTCCCAACCAGAAAGAACTTCAGGACTATAGGGGGTAGTTATCACCTGTTCTTAAAAATCAGTTAGTTACTGAGCACCCACAAGGGCCAGGTATCTTGCTAAATATTAAAATAAAACTAGGCTTAAATACCCTAGTGCCATACATTTGTAATCAAGGCGTTATTTGTGTTTAGGAGACAACTCACAGTCACGACAGCTATAATATTAGCAGCAGTTCAGCTGCCTCTTATTGGAGTTAGCACAATACATTATCCTTCTCCATCTTATAACAGTGTTTGAGCTAGTATTAGAAGCTCCATTTTTTTAAACTGAGTCTCAGAGAATTAAGTAATTTGGCTCAAGATCTCAAAGCTGTTGGGCAGCCACAGTGGCAAGAAAGCATACAAGGGCCATCTAGCAACCAAATGCAATGTGGGGTCCCCTCCCTGGTTTCTGATGAAACAAACAACTATAAATAAACAAAATGCATGAGGCAATGGAGAAATTTAAACATTGACCGCACTTTAAAATTTTAGATTTGAAATGGCATTGTGCTTTGGTAAGGGAAAAAAGTCCTGTACCTTTTAGAGATACATAACTAGGTATTTAGGAATGAAATGATACGATGTTTGAGATTTGCTTTAAAATATTCCAGTTTGGAGAGCAGTGAGAAGTGGGTGGGGTACATATGAAACAATTTGGTTATAGGTTAGTAATTGTTGAGATCAGGTGCTTTTAAGAATTACTAAATAGTAAAAGAAAAACATTAAAAAAAAAAAAAAACACCACCAGACTTGAAGCCAATCAAGAGAAG